ATGTTTATTTGTGATAAATAGTTTGCATGTATAAATTATAATTCACAAATGGTATTGTGATGTAAACGAGTCCGGATCCTCTTGTCGCAATTCCTCCGACTGTAGTCCATTTTAATACAGTGATTTTCAACAAGTACATGTAAAAGTGTTAGCTAATGGGTGGGCACTTGTCCATGAGCCTAAAAACTCAAGTTATTGGGGCAGTACTGTATATTCACCCATTTATATCTAATCACTTTCCCATTCGGATCCGATGTGGGACAAATGACCCTTATTATATTCTCCCCCACCCGAACCTATGCAATGCCCTTATTGCTGTCGGATCACCCTGCCTACCTGAGGTGAAAACCCGGACGCCTTTCGGGCCGGGCACTTGGCGCGACACTAGATCAAGGACCGGTTTGACTCTGATACTAACTGTAACGGGTGGGAACTTGCTCATTTACCTAAAAGCTCAAGTTATTGGGTAATGCTGCATACCCAACCATTTATACCCAATTACTTTCCCATCCGGATCTAATGTGGGACAAATGATCCTTGTTACATGTGAAACCCCTCTAATCCGAGACACGGGTTGATCAGGCCCAGGCCCGAACCCGAGGGAATATCAAATAATTAAAGTATTTAAAACGAACACAGATGACAAAATGAATTTAAAAAATAAAGTTTAAGCTGAAAGGAACTAAAATAAAATCCTTAAATAATAAAGATTAAATAATCCAACTCCAAAACCTCCAAGGGTACAACTCGGGAATCCATCTCTAGTGGACCCCTAATAATAATCCAAACAGTAATAAAACAACTGATAAGACATCCAGAAGTAAGCTACGAAGAGAAGTCCTACATCGTCAGTAGAGTGAATAAAATCTCTGCTCAGCACGAACACGTCTAAGTCTGGAACTGTTGTGTACCTGAAAAATAGAAGTGGGTCAGGCCCACGAACAAGTTCTATCCTACTACAATCCAAGCAGAGACTCGATACGCATGTACATTCTAACCAACTCAACAATAGCTAATAGTCCGTATGTATATATATAATCACACTAAAGGACTCTCACTGGACTACAGGCCGGTCTCAACCTGAATAGAGGCAACATGCAAAACACACACGAAGTGGGCATGTGTACCTAAACCTAAACAGGGTACACCTCTAACCATCGTAGCCAGCTATGCATCCCAATGCATATACGCTCCCTAACCAACGACTCTAAGACTCAGGCTCATATCGTGGTGCCATAAAAATATATTTAAAATCCTATCCTATCCATCCATAAGAAATCCAGTTGGTCATTCAGCTTGTGCAGCTTCTTTGACTCAACACAGTTAACAAGTAATCCAGCTAGTCATTCAGTTCGTGCAACTTCTTTGACGTAGTATAAATATAAGTAGGATTTATTTATAATCCATTCCCTTATTCCAATACAGGTTGGATTTAGTATTTTTGAAACTAAACCATCCCTGGTATGTCATCGTCTCATACCGGTGCATACAATCCAATCCATCCAGCAGTTGATAGAATAAATACGAATGATAACTACCAACTAATCCATAAAATCCACAATTGATAATAAAACATAGTAATTTAAACATCAATTGTTCCACAAGTGAGCACAATAAAGTTACGTATTTTAACATACTGGTATTACACTACTCAACCAAATAATCCAGCAATTGATAGTACAACAGTATATGCAAATATCAACTTATTCCCAGAATCCTTATAATTGAAAGAACATGATTGAAAGTCTATATCAATTAACTCCACAGCAAGTGTATTAAATCTTGACCAGTTATTGTGCTAATAATTTCAGTCCAACAATTGATGCGATAAATAAGACAATTTAAACACCAATCATTCCATAGCAAGCATAGGAAAAATATATCAATTTTAACATGCTTAATTTATATCACAAAAACATGATTAATAACTGATAATTATCCACAGAAAGTTTCTGCAACAATTTAAGCAATTTAATCCACCTGCATTCAAGAACAGTTTGCATATCTTGCTATAAACTGTTTACGGTTCAATCCTATGAACCCTAAGTAAACTGTTATTCCTTCCCACACCCTCTGGAGTCTTTATATGATCACAGAATTTATTTAATCTCTCATGTACAATCCCTGAATGTCCCAAACGGACCAAAAACTCAGCCCAGAAGCAAAATTCGTCGAAAATTGCATCAAAAGGGGAAGGAGCTGCCTCCACACACCCTAGAGCCGGCTCCACCTTGTGTGGAGCCGCCTCTTCCTCCTTTCTCCCTCTCTGCTTGTTTTCCTTTATCGTTTTCATCTTCGGCGACTTCCACCACCTCCGTCCTCCATGATTAGGGTTCCTAGATGTCTAAACTAGGTTCTAGAATGTCCATGGGACAACTTAACTCTTAATACAACTCCTAACATCAACATAAACATGCACTGTGTAAAAAGAATTTAATCCGAGAAATCTAGCATTACCGTAATCCCACTGTTTCAAACAACTCAACTATGCACCCAGATTTAATCTAGTGTTCTCCTAAGGTGTTCCAGAATAATAAATCTCCTTACACATCAATGGACATGAAATAGAACAAGAATTACGCAAGAAAGCATTTAAATCAATAATACAGAACTTGAAAACATGTCCTAGTTACAGTATCTTAAACATGCAACTTAGTTTAATTTTAATCCTTATATGTTCCTGGAGTTGTATTAGACCTGTAAAGAACATGAGCAAATGGGAGAGAGTTAGGTATAGAACTTGCCTTTAGCCTTGCACAGTCGTCTTCCTACGTTCTTCGGCAACGTCCTACTGAAATCCTCATCTGTTCTCTCTCTGCCTCCACTATCGTGAATAGTTTTTTTTCTAAAAACCCTAAGCAGACTTAATACTTATATTTATAGGTTTATGCAGAACCTAAAATCAAGCCAAACCCTACAATGAATCCTAACCGGCCCATAGAGAATCCTAATTAAAATCTACGTCGGCTACCAAGACTTAACTTCTAAAACAAAACCCTAAATTAAACCAATCAAGCATTTAAAAGAATTAAAATACCAAAAATACCATTAACTAAACAATTAAATTAATTAAAATACAATTCACTAAATAACAAGCAAATAAACCAATGATGTCAAATAAATTCAAATATTCAAATACACAAGCAAAATAAACAATTTAAATTATTAAAAATGAAATTAAATATTAACCAAAATATTAGGACTATCTTTTTAAAATTAGGAGTATTACATTACACCTAGTGTAACAGGTCGGCGCTTACCCATTTACCCTAAAATTTAAGTTGTTGAGTAGTGCTGCATACCCACCCATTTATACCCAATCACTCTTCCATCCGGATCCGATGTGGACAACTCTCCCCTTGTAACATTCTCCTCGACTCGAACTCGCAATGCCCTCGTTGCAGTCGGGCCACCCTGCCTACCCGAGTGACTCACCCGGACTCACCCAGACGCCTTCCCGGTCGGGTGCTTGCCGTGGCACCGAATTAAGGACTATGTTTGGCTCTGATACCAAATGTAACGGGTAAGCGCTTGCTCATTTATCCAAAAGTTTAAGCTGTTAAGTAATGATGTATACCCACTCATTTATACCCAATCACTCTTCCATTCGGATCCGATGTGGGACAAATCTCCCCTTGTAACATCTAATTGGTAGAGTACCTAGCTCCTTGACTGGGTGTGCTCATTTGCCAAAAAAAGAAAAAAAAAAAAAAAAATGTAAATGTGTTGAAAATAGGTGTAATGGTGTTAAAAAACCCAAAACACAAAAATTTATCATAAATAATCATTTTTCCCTAATTAGAGCAATTTTAACTCGGCTCGAAGATGCTTAGGGAGTTGGGGCGCTCTACCAACTAGACTATTGAGTGATGTCCATTAATCAAGTCATTAACAAATCTAAAAAGCAATATAATTTTGGGTGGTCCGCTGAGTAAGAGGGTACCCACTTCTTACCTGTCACCCAAACAACCTTGTGCTCCTTATCTTACACAAGAAAGGATACTGGATAAGGATAAATTTTTAAATGTGGTGGACTAATTCAGTTAAGACTCTCAGATTGATAAAATGACCATACATAAGTGTACATAAAGAAATATGAACAACGATCTGGATTGAATTGGTCCACCATGTGTCAAATGCTAGCACCATCTAATAATTTCTCATTGGATAAGTCACACATGCTCGTTTCACTTAATCAGAATACATCATTCAGATTAGAATTAGGGCTGCAAACGAACCGAGTCGAGCCGAGCCGAGCCGAGCTTTAGGCTGTTCAAGCTCGGGCTCGTGACTAGCTCAAAAATCTCAGCTTGGGCTCGGGCTCATCATTGTATTAAAGAGGAGTTCGGGCTCAACTCGGCTAGTTTAATAAATTAAATTAAACTAATGTTCAAAATTTGCCCAGGCTCATTTGCAAGCTCGCCGAGCTCATTTAGTAAATCATTACATTTTTATTTTATACTTCCAAAAATTAAAAATTTCCAACAAAAAATAAAAAAACAAATATAAACGAGCTTATTGTTCACGAACATATATAAACCTTATTATATGAACATATGTTTGCGAATATAAACGAACCTACACGAGCTCGTGTTTATGAGCCGAGCCTAACACTGATCGAACTCGGCTTATTTGTTTACCGAACAAGCCCGAGCATTCATTTGGAGCCCTAATTAGAGTACATATTCAAGTCGGTTGAAGAAATTATTTATTTAAATGGATCCATTTCATTGAATGGTACATTCTAATTAGGTGAGATGCTTGGTTCGGATGGTTTACACCGATGTTTGTATGAATCTGTTATATCAATTATGCCGTGAACTATGATACGATGTCGTATGAATCTGTTTGTATGAATCGTAATTTTAAAATACTTACGATTTTGTACGAATTTGAATATCAGCTCATCATCTTTGGAGTCGTTGAATTCTAAAATTTGGTAGCTCCATTGGCCCGTCACACGGTACAGGCGTTTTATGGAGCTGGAATTTAGAAGAAATTCGATGCTTTTGTGATGATGTCAACATGGGCCCACTGTCACTCTCCACCTACGCCGCCACGTTGTGTCGGTGAATGTAATCGGCTGATGAGTTCGGCTCAAAAAGCATTACTCGTCTGTAGATCGATGATTTGAAGATTCAGAAGACGATCACAATGGGCTTGTTTTCTCCAGATCCGTTGTGAGAGAAATTAGGGTTCTTAGTCCCTCCAGAACTTCCTGGTTGAAGAACTACCTCACGAAATAGGCTTTTCTGTATTGGATTCTCAACTTTTTGAATCACCATTAGATGAGGCTCTTACAGTTGGCTTTTCTAGTTGCGTTAGCATCTGGGGTAATGGCGATTCTCATCTACATTACTGGTGTATCTAGACTGTGTAAGTATATATCTACATATATATATGCATACATCTACAAATATATGAATCTATGTAGGGGCATCTCTTTATGTATAAATTGGTATTCTGTTGCTCACTTTCGGTTGATTTGATTATGATTTAACAAACAGATGGTACCCATATTTCGGATGAGGATTTTGAAGCATTGAAATCTCTGCAGAGTGATTTTCAGAAGTGTGTGGTGAGTTTAAGTAGGGAAATAATTCCATCCTTTGCTTACTATTATTAATTTTTTTATCAAATTGTTTCTTTTTTTCTGAAATGCAGTGATGGATATTTTAGTCATCTTAATCTATCAGCATGAGTACACTTCCATTCCTGATTTTGTAAGATTTGGATTCTTGGGCTTTTTGTTGCTTGACTGAAATCTCCACTCAATCAATTGTAATACAATTACCAGGCTTGGTTGCGGCCATTCTTTCAATTTTAAAAAACCAAAGAAATATAGAAGGAACATTATGTACTCTCTGCAACCGAATGCGGGATTAAGGCAATGCTATTGACAATGGTGAAACACTAAAGGGAGCTATGAAATGGTTGAAGAGTAAATTGAGTGATTCTGAATGTATCTATGCTTCTTATGCAAATCTAACTTCAGTTCACCCTACAGCTTTAGTATTCAGAAAGTCCTCTTCTGAATCTTTCTCTATATATTTAACTAAAATTTCTATAAACAAGCCCCAAAGGGAACTTAATTCATGTACTTGCAGGGTAGGATCGATCCTAAGCTCCCTTTGTACATCTCAAATATGATTTTTTTTTTTCAGATATCCCATGCTGAAGAGAATCTAGAAACAAATGCTTTAATTTGTAGCTTGACATATCCTCATCCTCAAAGTGCAACTATTCCTTTCAATTTGTAATCACCAATTGATACAATGGGAGCAGCCTGCCAAGCCTCCTGCACTTTCTTCCAAATACATCTCCAAAGTCAAGAAGCCAATAAGTCCCAAGTGACAATGAACATAACCCGGCAAACTCCAGAGAGAGAAAATAACATGCACCACATACTGAAGCCATTTCACAGTCATCGTCTGAATTTAATTAAATCAAATCCTCTTCATCTGAGTGATTGGTTATAGGAACATAATTACTATTTTTTTTGGTGGCTTTCTTGTTTATTATATTGTTTACCCAGAGCAGGCAGCATTTCTTATGATTAGTTATCCAAAAATTTAGTCATGTGGGTTTTCATATATGTTGTTGGACTCTTTAACGTGTTTGAATATGCAACATGCCACTATAACTTCAAACTTCAAAACTTTAGTACTGAAAAACATTGCTCTTTGTCTTAACAATTTAATGTGTTTGCTTTATTTTATAATGATGCAGGGAGCAAATGGGTTAGGTTTACAAGCTTTAAGTGGTAAAGATTATTGTGAAGTTACATTACAGTTTTCTAGCGACACAGACGCCAAATGGGTAGGTTACATATTCGGCAGTTTACATCTGATATATGATGATATTTGCATCCCTCCTTGTTTTTGGACAGTAACAATGTTGGATGGTGTTAGGAGATATACATAAGGTGTCATATATATATATATATATATATATATATATTTATTTATATAAAATCCTATAGAGTTCAATATGCATATTTCGTACACATATTTCTATGTTTTGCCATATAGAGTAAGGCTATCAAGAGTGCCCTCTCATGTCAAGAGTCATGAGTTTGTGGGTTCACAAATCACAAAAACCATCTCAATCCAGTGGTTAATAAAAAGAGCTCATGGCTCTTGTCACGAGAGGGTTCTCTTGGTAGCCTAACCGTAAAATACAATATTTATGTACATGTTTTAATAGGCTATTTACTTTTTATACTCATATGAAATCCGATACCTAAACAGCGAGATCCCAAAACAGGAGAACTGGAAGGCCTGTCATTCGATTTTAATCTTTGTGAAGCTGTGGCTACATGGGAACAAGTGAGCTTTCTACTTCTATGTTTTGTATACTGTCTAATGTCGTAGTGTTATCCAATTCCTGCACTAGTATTGGCTCGATGAGAAATGGATTCAGGCAAATTATACTTGGCACTTGTAGTTTCTGTGTCATCAGTGAACAGGAAAAACTATGATTGTCAAACAAATTCTTCTCCTTGCCTAGATTAGTGTCAAGCTTGGAAAAAGTATCCTTCTCTAATTTGCTTGTTTAGAATATTGCTTTACAATTCATTTGTTATTTAGTGAGCTGAATTGCTCAGGTGAGGAATAGTACTACAGTACTTACTAGGGAGTTCATTGATGCTTTACCAAATGGATGGGAGGAATATGCATGGCAGAGGATTAATAAAGGAATACTTCTGTAAGTACTTTACACATGATTGGTGCTATAATGATTAGGTTTTCTCCTCTTGGTCTTTGAGTGGTGTATTAGTGCTTGGTGTTTTGTGCTTCATGTTTATCTTTGTACTCTCATTTCTTCCGGATTTATAGAACTCAACTTACCTACCAGGGGAAAAAAATGACTGGTGTTATATTAATTAGTATTTGTTTTATGGATGTATAGGCAATCAAGTGGAAAAAATGATTTTGTACAACCATACCTACCTGTACATTGATCAAATTCAAAACGTATCCTTTGAGGAGTCCACAAATTGTCTAAAAACCCATAAAATCTTTGTGAAGTCCTATTTTCACATATATGCAATTTATTTTATTTCTTTCCAATTCCTGAAAATATCCACTGGTGGATAGTTGTAAATAAATATGTGGGTCCTGTCTGCAAGACTGCAACTGATATCCAACATTAATGAATAAATTGGTTAGTTAAAAAACTTGCTGAGCATTCTACGGCCATGTGTTCCCTGATGTATGTTTCTGTACTGCAGCAACCGCTGTGAAAATAAGACTCTCTGCATGGAGAAACTCTCTCTGGCTCTCCCTGAAACACCACCATATTTTCCGAGGCAGTTCAGCCAGTGTGCTGTAATTGGTAATTCAGGGGATCTTTTGAAAACAAGGTTTGGAAAGGAGATAGATGGTTATGATGCTGTTTTCAGAGAAAATGGCGCTCCAATCCAGGTTTTGGTTGCATCCACCATATATAAGATTTCAAGTACTATATAGTCTATAATGATTTTTTTTTTTTTTTTTTTTTCTCTCTTAATGAAACATATAAACTTAACAAAACCTTGTTCCAACTATTCAGTGTCGGATACATTTTTTTGGGTCATATTTTCTATTAAAATTCATACCTTCAGTTAAAAAAATGCTACATATTTTTCTTTATTGTCTTAAATCCACGTTAAAATTTTCTTCCTCTGACATTACCCTCAGCGTGAACAATATCACCGTTCCTTATTATTGTAGCAATTATGCTTCACTCCACATGGCCAAACCATCTTATTATTTCATTTTATGTCACTTTACTTCAATGAATGCTGCTTTGATTGTCTCATGAACGTATAGTGTTAGTTGGATCATTTCTTTTCCTACCACACTTTATTTCAACATCTGCATTTCAGATGCAGTTATTTATGAATAGGCTGTCTTTTACGCAACATTTTTCGATGAAGTAGCTGATCTAGTAGCTGTTTTATGATCTTCTGCATTTCTTCTCTTTTTCCCTCTCTTTTTTGTGTATGGCAGAATTATACAGACTATGTGGGTAAGAAAAGCACATTTCGGCTTCTTAATAGAGGGTCTGCCAAAGCACTCGATAAAGTTGCAGAGTTATATGGTAAGCGCCATTCTTGTTTTGAGTCCATTCTTTCTGCATTGGAAGCATACTAAACATTTGCAATCTGCAGATACTGGAAAGGAGGTCTTGATCATTAAAACAACAATTCATGACATCATGAACAAAATGATTCGGGTTTGTATAATGTCTTCCACTAGTAATTCCAATCGATAAAATTTTCTCCAAATGCATTTTTTTTTGCAACAGATATCATGGTGAAAGCTGGTAGCATTTCTTGTAGCTCAGAATTTTAACATACATATATTGTTTATTGTCGTTTCGACACAGTACGGTAGAGTACTACTTTTCTATAGCTTGGAATAAACCAAAAGGAAATTTCCTTTTCTTTTCCTTAAATTTAAAAATTATTGTTGTGGATTGACCATATTTGAATCACACACACACAGACACATTCATTTATCAACTGCATTCTTTAGTACTCACCTTAATGCTTTTATCACTTTTGAGGTTGAAATGCCATTAAAATGGATTTTTAGTTTATTTTTTTTAAATGATGATTATGAATATTAATTTTCTGTGCAAGCCTTAAGAGGTCAAGTAGCCTGACTTGGTGACTCTTCTAAAAAGTCTTCATGACGCTGTATTGTTTCCTTTTGTGGTTCTAGATTTGGATCCTTAAATCGATCTGTATATTTTCTAATCAGAAAATCTGAGTCTTTGTTTCAATCAAGGACCTAAATTTTGATATGATTTTAAGTACCTCCAAATGAAGTCTTTATAGACTGCAGTAACTTCCAACAAGGTGGATATTGGTGTTTTGCTCTATAGCAGAAGAAAATATAGAGCTCCATCCCCTTATATATCTTTCCTCTTAAGACTCCCTTTCTAGACTCGGTTTTGCATGGTGGATGGTCGTGGAAATATACTGTCTAGCCTCCATATGGTTTATTTAGATAGTAAGGAGTAATGAATAAAGGAATATTATTGGTTGTGCTTATGGGGTGTGGCAAGGATTAAGTTTATATGATCATTTACTTGTACACTATGATGTCCATGGTTCCAAAGCCCTACCATTGTCACTCAGAGACTAAAGGTGGAACCACACAAAAAATCATTTCACTGAGAATGGAGGCTCATTTAAGCATTATGTGAATCTAAATTTTAAGGGGCTCTCTTTGAAAATTTTAGATCAACTGAAAACTACTGGAAGATGGTGATGATAAGATTATCTCGCTTCTTTCTCATGGGAAGTGCCTGTTCTAATGTCATCAAATTGTTTGAGGATGTGATGGCTATTTGAAATATATCACTTTTGTAAGAGTTGCCAATTTGGCTAGCATTATGATACTCCCCCTATCCCAATGGAAATGTCCCCCTTTATGTTTAAGGATGTCCCAAAATAAATCTTCTCTTTTGAAAATAATGTACAAAGACCTTCCTAAATTATCCTTAAATTATGAAAACTTTCCCTAATTAACTATGTAATTTTTCATACTTTGGAGATTAATTGTGGATTTCAAAGGCAGACATGCATTCCCAGTGAAGGAGAGCTGTCTTCATGGGCCTCAGCAATCCTGGTGGAAATATCCAAAGTATGATGGACGGGTTCAAATTGAGTAGCTTGCTGTGGATATAGTTCTGCTAATTTGGTATGGATCCCTTTCCCTGTACACATCGATATTGGGGTTGGGAGCCTCTTCAACGGAAAGTTCTGCTTCTTCCCATGGGGGCTGATTGAGATCAACGTTAAATGCATGCCCCCTTGAAAAGTTGGAATCTTAAAAAGGATATGTAATTTTGAACAGAGGTATTATATTGTATCTACCAGCCTCTTTTTTTCAGTAAATTATAATTTATCTCACAGTTGCCTAAATCAACAAGTTCAGATACCCAGTATTGGAGTTCGTAAGGAAGATATGCCAACTTATGCAACTATATATCTTTTGATTAGTAAAAAACATGATTTCTTGAATTCCCCTTTTCCATTTTTTTCAATACAAATTCTATTAATGTTGCTTAAAGAGATTGAAAATGTGTGATAGGTGGGCTGGTATTAAGCTAACTACCTTACCTTCAAGAGGATGTTTGGCATTCTTCCCTCATTTTTTTCAATCCAAAATACCCCATGTATTAGCAAAATTTAGGGCCAGGACAAATTTTCACTTTATGCTTTTTTCAGCGTCTTTTTAAACATAAATCTACATTCAACTTATACTTGGACTCCATCTCCTCTCTCTATACAGGAAGCATTTTCTCCAAAACAGCTCTAGGTGCAGTTACAGAAATTGAAAATGAAATAGTTAGCAGACATACATTTTTGTTGTTTGTAATTTGGTCACAACAGAACTTGCAAATGTATTTACAGATTTATATTTCAAAATAATGCTCACCACTGTTTTCCATGCATAGACCTTGTTTGAGACTCCATTAGCTTGAAACATTGTTCAAAGATGTGGACACAGTGCCGCATCAAGTGTAATGTAACAGAATTGGTAATTTGGTCGTGAAATTTTATTGATCTTGCACACTATCAGATGTGCTGATTCAACGGAGTCCCTAGGGAGTAGGGACTCATTAGAGACTTGGCCAATTCCTTGGGGACTTGGATGAGACTTGGCGATTCCCGGGACTATATTATCCCGATTCCCATCGATATATTGATGGAACTCGTACTCAGATGGGACCAAGTCCGCTACAACTCGGCCGATACAAAGACTATAGTATGAAAACAATGGGACAGAATTGCAAGACTTGAAATATTAATATAAGTATTAATTGCTATTAAATAGAAAGGTATAGAGGAAGGCTGAAAACAGGGTGTAAATGCAACTATTATCTTGAGATCAGTTTCCTGATGGCAGTTGCTGAATTGGAGGCTGAATTCACAACTAAAATTATATGGGAAAAAAATAAGGTAAAATTCATGTAGATAAGTGGCAGCGAGTCAAGTAGGTCCTGCAGTATCTCAGCATGCTAAACAAATAGACGCCGCCTTGGTTTGCCAAATTTGCTGTCTTCCTTAACATGAAATGGTAAGGTCAGGAATGTGTAGGGATTCTTTTAAAATTGTTACCTTTTATAGGACTAAATGAGCAAGAAAATTAACCAAGGCCTGATTCTTTCCTATGTTTGCTAATAGTTTTAGGATTAAATTTGTTAATGCAATCTACTCCTAACAACTTTTCCTGATTGTGCTTTTCTCCCTTAGATGTTTGGCAGTGTCATTTATTTGATAACTGTCTGGAATTTTATGCAATTGCTGTTAGGGAATATCTGCATCATTTAAAATCGGGGATTTTTCCTCTTTGCTTTTCAAACTGCTCAAACATTTTCCTAATTGACTTTTTTCTTATTTATTTTTTATTTTTAATCTTTTGTAGGAAGTTCCAATACACAATCCTGTATATCTCATGTTAGGTGCATCTTTTGGTTCAGCAGCAAAAGGAACTGGGCTCAAGGCTCTTGAATTTGCTCTCTCCATTTGTGATACTGTTGACATGTATGGTTTCACCGTTGACCCTGGTTACAAAGAATGGTATGAGAGAATTGAAAAAAGTTTTGGCACTCAATTTCTTTAATGTAAATAATTTTAACAATTGTAATGCGTGTAACTTAGCAAGGCACCTTACATATTTTTTCAGGACTAGATATTTCTCAGAGTCTCGGAAAGGTCATACTCCTTTACAGGGTAGGGCTTACTACCAGATGATGGAATGTTTGGGAGTAAGTCTACAACTGCTCTGGTTTTCTTGTGCTGAAGCTGTATGTTAATTGAACTAATTTAACATCATGAAGGTGTTAGGAAGGTGCTCTCTTTTCCTTTATATGTGGTGCACATGAAGGAATACGAGCCGACAATTATTGAGGCCAGATGGAACTGAAAAGTTCAAATAGACAAGATTATTATGATCATTCTAATCATAAATCTTTTTTCCTGATACATTTTTCTTGTTTATTTCAGAATATCCTAAGTATGGTCATCTATGTTAATTTAGTTTTTCCTTTATTGTGGCAAAGAGAATGCTTCCATCCTCCATCTTATATGTCCTTGAAAATGATATTAGCCTTATCTTGTTATTACTTTCTAACTTCCATATTTTTTAACATAGTTTTTTATTTTTTGCTTCTCGTTTGTCCTATTAAGCTTATTAAGATTCATTCTCCAATGCGGGCTGATCCAAACCGTGTAGTAAAGTGGGTACCTGGCCGTGGTACTATTACTGCTGCAAGAATTGCATCAGAGAAATTGTTAAGGTAATTGATTTTCAGTTATATTTTCCTTTGCCTTTTAAATTAAAGCTTCCCTTCAGTCTGAATAAGAGATGATCAGGTTGCCATCATGGATTGAATTTTTTTTTTTTGGTTACTTATCTAATATGTGATGTTGTGGCCCAAATTTTGTTTTTGGGCCGGGTCGCAATGCAACCCGGTTGACCCGAAAAGTGAGGCCCTCGAGAAATTTTTTTGACCCGCCTTTTACTTGCGGGTCATGGACCCTATTTAGTACTCTCTTGTAGCCCGATATATAAGGGTGCTTAGGGTTTGGAGTGGGATAATGAGAGAACACTAAAAGTTGCTGGAAATAGAATGAGAGCGAGAGCTAGGGTTTGGGGACTAAAACTTGTAATCTCTTGATTTTCGCTTAGTGAGCCAAATCTTCACAGTGGGCGTAGGCACAACTTGTGTTGGTCCACGTAAATTCTTGTGTTTTTTGTGTGTGGCGTGTTTACTTTTTGATGTGATTTTCGTTTTGTTCTTGGTTTGCTGCGTTTGTCGTCCACATACGCATGTTTTAGTGCATCAAATGCTTGACATCTATAGACATCCCATTTTGCTATTACCCTAAAAGAGGAGGGTAGCAAAGTCCAAATTGCACACAACACAAAAATCTGAAATTAGCAATCCAATCTATGCTTGACAATTGTTGGGTAAGATTGAGAAGAAAATTGACTTGGACTTCACAATAGTTGCATCTTGTTCAAAATTCAAATATGTCCAAGTGCCCTTAATGGGTCTGTGCGTGCATATTATAGTGTTCAAATCCATGCCTTTGGTTCGAGTAGACTAATTATGGTGTGATTAATTAAAAAGGGCTTTTTAATAATTTAAATTATTTTTTTAATCAAAGTTGTTTTTCGAAACTTATTTCCTTTCCAGAGCTTGTTTTAGGTGACCAGACACAGTTCATTTATTCTTAATTAATCTACAAAAAGCTTGTTTTTTTCTTCGAATTTAACTAAAATTCTCCGACAAATGTAAGACTCTTTTAATGCTCAGCCTCACTTATGCTGTGTTTTAAACGTTTCTATAAGTAAATTTGCGGCATGATAACATGGATATTGTAGAGGCGGCAATTTATCAGCAAGGAAGATTCACTTCCATGTGGTACAGTGATGTGGGACATTTGCAGATAGGATGGACATCACTCTCTTCTGGTTTATGAGATGGTTTCATCAATATATTGAAAAATAATAATATTCTCGAGTTGAATAGGATTTCAATTGACATATTATCATTTGGCCGAGCTACTCTGATATGGCAAGTCCAAAGTACAGTCAAAAACTTTGGCGAATATTTCTACCACTACCTCCCTCCCCATGACTGGCAATGCCAAAAACATAAAAAAGGAAAAGACTAAAAAGTAATGGGGAGGGGGGAAAACATGTTTTGAAGGTGACTGGAAAAGACAAGCTTATCTGACTTTGCGTTGCATCACATGCTATTGTTTTGTTTTTTTTTTCCTTTCCCTTTTAGCATAGCTTATGTTTAATAATCATTCCTGTAAAAAACCTGGTCATTTGAGTGTCTGATATGATATGTATTTTGCTCCAATTCTTTATGGTTATAGGAGGGTCGGAGCAGGGTCTGGCGATCCACTGAGTGGATGTTCCATCATCAACAAGCAAGTTAAAGGCAAGCTTACAGGGGTTTCAGGGCTTCGAAAGGCTGCTGTTGAGCACCAAAAATATGTGAAAGGCACAACCATGTATCCATTGGAGCATAATCCTGGACATGGTTTACTCTGCACGGTGCCAACCAGTTGAATCTTTGGAAGTGAATTCAGGGCTCAAAATATACAAATACATGCAGATATGCTTCAAAAATTTGTTGCTGCCAGTCCATTGACTCAATTCTTCAGAAGCATCGAAAACATGCCCGGCTATCTAGGAAAAAATGTCTACACCTCTGTGAGTTTTTTCACGCCACCAAATATATTTTGAAGTTAGTTTTCCCCATTAAAGAAGGCACATGTAGATTAGGTGAGAAATGAAGCTTCCCAATCTTCCGGTGTAATTTTATTATTGATTCTCGTTGTTGGGAGTTCAACCATATTTTATGAGATTGATTTGTAACTTCCATATAGAACCTTGATCTTTCAATTTTGTCTATTTGACTGATCAAACCGAACCGTTGGATCTTACTTGATGCTGTATTTCTATGTGAGACCTGTGAGAATGCTGTGTGAAATACTAATTTAGCATTAGTATTCAGTGTTTTAGAACTTAAAAAATTTGCTCCACCATGGGATAGCTGGGCACGCTCTACTAATTAGGCCATTGGGCTCCAATTTTGCACCCGGTTTTGGCGGACAGGGTAATGTTACTGACATATATGGGATGAGGACTCGAACTTGGGCCATTTCGCCACAAGCACCAACACCTTACTACTGGGATATCACACACCCGCCTCTTGTTGTGTCTGCAATGCCAAAGGTCTTAACTGATAAATGTTGGTTATGAATTAATGGGCTAAGCCCAAAATGGTGGTCATGAACTAATGGGCTAAGCCCAATTTTTATTCTCATTCTTTCAAACATACAAATTCATAAATTTGTAGAACTCGTAATATGAAAATAAAAAATATGTAAAAACAAACTACATTATATTATTACTTGGATGATAGATACCTTCGGTATCTTTTTAATAATTACAAAGAAAAACTAAAATATTATTTATAAACAAAAAATCATAACCCATGCATGTATATCTATTTTTTTTCCTACTTAATTACAAAAATATATATATTTTTTGCATATAAATAATATATACATATAAATGGACAAAAAAAGTCTAAAAGTACATATATATATATATATATATATATATAGATCTGCTCAACCTTGTTCTAATAAGGTATTATGGTCCCTCTGTTTCTTGTATGGTTTCTTGTCTTCCAAACAGAGTTTTCTTAAGGCTTAAGTTTGAGTTGTTGTAGTTGGATAGACTGTAAATTTGGGCTTCTTTTCGGTTTTATTTTTTTGACGCCCTAATTGGGCCTATGTTTTTGTCTGCCTTTGGGTTTTCATCTGGGCTTATTCTAAAATTGTTCATATCTCCATCATATATTACATAACATGAAAAAAAAAAAAAAAGAGGTTCCCTTTATTATTTTATATGTTAATTATCAAATTCAACCAAAAAAAAAAATCTCTACCCAAATAATTCCATAACATGGGTATAATAAACAAATTCATCGTAAAAGTACCAATAGTTATGTAAAATCTTTGTTAAACGTTTTATCTATGTTTTTCATAATTTGGAATATTTTTTATGATGTTCTTCATAATAGATTTATTTAATTTAACAATTAGGTAGGTTGAATATGGTAAACCTCAAGAAATATATATTTCATTTTAATTTTTTTTATATATATTATTTAATTACTTAATTGGTAAAACGTCCACGCTCCAAGCGGGTGGGTCTGATAAAACAGAAAAAAATAAATAAATAAAAATTACCTATATAATAGGCTGTGAGTGAGTGTGTGTACGAGAGAGAGAGAGTATTTATGTTTGGATTGTTACATTTCTTTGCCGTTTAAGGTTGTAGAAAAGTGGGTATCGTTTTCATAGGGTTGATTGGACATTGAAAGAGTCCTTAATGTGATGATGAATCCAATCAGAGCAGTGACGTTTAAGGTACAACACCTACAACATCTCTGTCCACTTTTTGGCGGCTATTCCATTACTAACATTTATTGTTTGTCTTCGTTTTCTTTCTTAAATGATCCCCCAACCACCCATTTGCACTGTAGATCTCTCACACACACACACACACACACACACAGTTGTTTCAAAATATAATTAAAAACCCAAGAAAAGAAAAACTGAATCAACCCATTTCTCCTTTTGTTTTTCTTCTATTTTTGTTTTGTTGTTGCAGTCAAAATATATATATATACAAACAAATTTTCATTTTTCAATATACATTGTAAAGTGTGTCACACTTTATTACTAATTAAGAAAGTATTTAAACTTTCTTTACCTAATGCACCCATTTTTATTTTTATTTTTATTTTTATTTTGTTATAATATCTTCTATTTAACTATAACAACCACTAATAAATTGATTTCCATGTTTCAACTATGATTTCGTTGGACTGAGGTTTCAACGATATTTTGACATCCCAAATGTTAATATATATAAAATTGTGGGGTTCTTCGGATTATATGTTTGACTTATATATGTGGTTTTATATACGTTACGATATATATATATTATTATTTTCCGTACGTATCTATGGTCTGTTTGTTAAAAGGATGATCAAAGATCCATTGTTGAAGACAATCTTCCAAGTGTAATTTGGTTGCCACACGTGGACCATTTCAACACCCACAATGTTCACACAAGTTTAATAAAGTGCATTAAAATGTATAGGACATGAAAATTATAGGTAATAACCAAAATTTGCAAAACGTCAATTAACTTTAACTAGTATCATTGTTTTGTGTCGATCCGATGGATGAACGATGATCCATTCATATACAATTAAGACATGATCGTCACTAATGGTTGTGATTGATACCATCATAATCATTAGGCCTGAGAAAGTTTATATAATATCTCGAGATTTATTAGTCAACGATTGGGAGTCTCGAAGTTACATACCTCCGCAATATTGTAGACTTTTATTATTGAGCAAAACTATTACGTAGTGATACTAATTAAAACTATTAATTGAAGTACTAGGCAAAACCCGAGTTGCAATATATCAAAATGATCTATAATAAGACGTTAAAATTCGGATTATGTATCATTTTTCTATGTAAGATTACATGCAAGGGCCGTTGATCGCTTCATGATGTTACATCCAACAAAGAACTTGCAATCAACATACCATTAAAAGAAGTTGCGATGTGTAGTGGCTTTTGCAGTCCCTCAATAAGCAATGTGGCTTTTGATTTCTATCTTTGCTTAATTCAAACCAATGTTGATAACTTTGTAATGAATACATTAAAGTCACATGTTATTGAACCTTGACATCTGACAACTCAATGAAAGGTATTTATTTATTATTTAATGATAATTATGTACTTATTTAATGATATTTAATTGAGAAGTGGGAAAACCGAAAAAGGAAAAAGAAAAGGAAAAAAAAGGATATATGATAATATGAGAGATGAAATGTCAAATACAGCAACAATTAATTATCTATTTCCTTTGTTTTTATTGAGAGAAAACCATAGAAAAGGGGGGAAAGAGAAATAATATGAGGATGAAATTTTTTTATTAGTTGACTTTGTTAGTTTATGCAATCACCATTCTTCACTCTCGTCACCATTAAACTATAGTATTATTGCACTCCAAAATGTAAAATATTGTTCAAAATTCTTGAAGTTATCGTAAGTTAAATCTTACCATATTGACACGTATGCTTTTACTCAAATCTACGACATATAATACTTTATATTATGTTCTATTGTTTATTAATTTGTTGGAAGAGAAAAACAAGAATGAGGACAAACTGATCAAGAGTTTATGTATCAACATGGCTGATTCAATTAACAATTGCTCTGCTGCTGCGTTTGGGAACACCAAGTCAATACTTTGATTTTTGAATTAGAGAAAATTTAGTTCAAAATTTTAACTAAATTTCTTTTAATTTTGAATTCAAGCTGTGGATTCGGTACTCCCAAAGTATATTCAACTTACAATATCTAAATCAAAGGTCAAGGTACTCAATTTTTTTAAAATTCATATAACAAAAGAATTACGGTACTTATGTTTTCTTAAAGGAAAAAAGTAATTTAACCAAAGTTAGAGTACCAAATGGGAATTATGGGATGTGTTTGGTTCTCCATTGGGATTACCTTTGTTAAAATAAAAAACACATTTTTCTATCCAACAATAAGAGAGATATTAATAATGTTAGTCCATTAAACATATTTACAATGATCTTTAATATGGTCATTACACTTCTTGAAAAGAAGGATGGAGGTTGGAAATATTATAATAGTTTGTTGGGAGAGAAAAACAAGAATGGGGACAAACTAATCAAGAGTTTATGTATCAACACGGATGGTTAAATTAATAACAATTACTTTGATATTGTGTTTGGGAACACCGAATTAGTATTTTGATTTTTGAACTGAATAAAATTTAGTTTAAAGTTTTAACTAAATTTTTTTAATTCTAAATTCAAGTTGCTAATTCATACTCTCAAGCATAACAAGAAGGATTTTCAACGTTAAGGCACTCAATTTTTTTAAAATTCATGTAACAAAAGAATTACCATACTTGTGTTTTCTTAAAGGAAAATGGTAATTTAACCGAAATTAGAGTACCGAATGAGAATTATGGGAAGTGTTTGGCTCTCCATTGGGATTAACTTTATTAAAATAAAATTCACATTTTTTCTATCCAACTATGAGAGAGATATTAATAATATTAGTTCATTAAAAAATATTTACAATGATCTTTAGCATGGTCATTACACTCATTGAAAAAGGAGGACGGGGGTTGGAAATTAATATAGAAAAGGGGGTTCCACTGTAGTTGAATGTTTGATAACCCATCAAAATCAAACACATCACCACCACCAATGTCGAGTTTTCATCATTCCATCCATAGAAGAGGAAGTACAAGTGACCTTATAAAATGTTTCCCTTTCCATTTTAATAATGAGTTGATGATACAACTCCCCCTTATAGGGTCATATGTCACAATGTGGTAAGTAAGAGATGGAAACCAAGAAATAAAAAAATATTGAAAATTCTACAAATTAAAAATAGATTACAAATTATTAACAATCAACATTAAGAGTTATCTCATTTTTTTATTTACTCCCACAAAAATTTATAATTGACCACACTTGATTGTTACTCAGTTGTGTCATGTAAATTTTATAATTTTGTAAGACACCAGACTGTAAATTTTATGACTTTGTAACTTATAAGACACCAAACTAGGTATGTATCGATAGTTTATCGGTTTATATGACCAATAGTCTTTTCAGAATCTGATTAATTTGTAATTTTAAAATAAATAATTAAAATTTTGAAAATTTGGTTAACTATTTATATTTTACCTATCCACCTAATTTTGCTTTGAAACTAAATGTTTTAATGGATAGAAATATTCTAATTTCAATTGGAATATTAGATTTCTCATTTGAAATTAGAGAAGAATTATAATGCTACAATTCTTTTTCACTAAAAAGTGAAAGAAGTTATGTATGACATTAAAGGGTAGATTTGTAAATTTA